AGGCACCTGCTTCCAGAACGGGCTCCATCCGCGCGCGAGGGGACCCTGGGCGGTGCCCCTCGGCGTTCCAGGGCCTTCTCGGGAAGGGGCGGGGCCCCCCCGCCTCCTCTCCCCGCGCTCACCTGGCGCAGGTGCTGCAGCAGCGTCCCCGCCTCCTCCCGCCGGCCCTGGCGCACCATCCGCAGCAGCTCCTGGACCATGCCCACGCGCCGGTGGTAGGGGGGCAGCCCCGCGCCGGCGCCCGAGCGCCCCGCCTTGTCCCCGGCGCGCAGCAGCAGCGACGCCCAGAAGTCGGGCCGTTCGCGGCGGGGACCGGGCGCTGCGCCGGGGCTGGCTCTCTCCGCCAGGCTGCCCTTGGTCTGCCGGGTGCCCATGCCGCCACGATGCTGCGTTCCCGGCCGGCAGCCCGCCTGTCGGGCTGCAACTTTGGGGGAACTGTTGCGCGCGGGCGGCGCGGGGCGGGGGTGGCGGCGGCCCGCGCTGCCCTCGCTCCTCCCTCCGCGCTCCCTGGGCGCGCTCCCCCGGAGCTCGCCGCCCGCCGCCTGCCCCGCCCCGCCCCGCCCCCGGCTCCGGCTCCGGCTCCTGCCCCTGCGTCCGCGCCTTGGCTCCGCGCCGCCGCGCGCCGTCTCCCTCCTAGCCTCCCAGCCTCTTCCCTCCCCTCCCTTCTGCTTCCCGCCCCTCCTCTCCGGGCCGGGGGCCGCCGGGCGCCTCCTCCCGGTGTCGGCCCCGGCACCGCGCCCCCTGTCGGCCGCCGCGCTGAGCCTCCCGGAGCCGTGGCGCGGTGGCGAAGCGGGCTGACAGGCCCCAGTGGCCCTCGCTCTCGATCCCCACCAGGTTCCCCAGAAGCCTCTACGACCGTGCGCCAGGGTGAAGCCCGTGCGCCCCGCGAGATGGAGAAAGTTTGGAGCATGGGGAGGTCTCTCAGCCGCAGAATCGGATTTCTCAAAGTGGGCTTGCTGAGCACCAGAGCCCAAGACGTCCTAATCGCTGGTTAAAAACGCAGACCCCCGGGCCTTGCCCCAGACCCACTGAATGCTGATCTCCGCGGTGGCGCCCGGGGACCTGCATTTGTAGCCAGCCGGATTCTGATGTATTCTGATGTACACTCCTTTGACACCTGTGGTGGTGGTGGTTGGTGCTTGGACACGGAAACTATGCGCAAGGTTGTGTATTGTGTATGTGCCCTTTTATGGATAAAGTCCATCTGTTGCTTTCATCAGTCAGTCTCTCAGAGAGTCTAGACCATCAGGGTGTAAAGAACTGCTCTCTTTTGTTCTAACTCTCACAACTCTGGAGAAGTTCCTGGGGGTAATCCCAGTATAAAAACAGCAGAGCCATGCCTGCAAGTAGGCCCAACTGCACCCTTTCCTGGCCCCTCTCCTTCCTTGGCCGCCTCTGCCAGGCCTAGCCCATAAAGAACCAGACCCCCTGGGGTCTGATGTTGCTTGGAAAGCCAACCAGGGCCCTTCTAGAGAGAAGGCTAAGGCACCTGGGGGTCTCTTCCCCATCACAAGACCACGGACCACCCTGGTGGGCTGGGGTGACTGCCCTGGTCTTAGCCACTGGGCTGCAGGAGCAGGCAGCGACTGTGATGCTTGCCTCTGACTCAGGCCCTGGGTGCTGGTTTTTGGGGAAAGGACAGTGTGAGCTGTAGGGGCAGGAGAGCCAGATCCCAAACCAGAGAGAGCACATAGAACCCAGCATGGGCTGACCGCTAAGCATCAGGCAAGTCTTAGCTCCTTCCTCTGTTATGTTGGGATAAGAATAAGCTGAGTACAGGTGTTCCACCAAGAACTGCTCCTTTTCCTAGTCTGTGAATAATCACTGGCTCTTCCCATAGACATGTTCTCTGTCAATCCTGAGTATCTGGAAGATGGGGCTTGTGTCTCCGCCAGCAGGCTCTCTTCCCTTTGGACGCCCCACTTCCAAATGTCCATCTCTGCTGACAGAGAACACTCAGTCTTCCTGCCAGCTGGCCTCACAGGGCTTACAGTGGCACCTTCCAAACTTGCCTGGACCCTTTGTGTGTAGAACATGTCTGTTGGCATCTCCAGAGAACCCAGGCTGGGAAACTGTTTGGTGCCTTTCATTTCTGGCCTGCAGGATTACCAGGTAAAGTGACCACCAGGAAAACCTGCTGATGAGGTCCCTCCTTAGGGTTAGTGGGCTCCACCACAGCCTGAGCTAGTAAGTTGGCCTGCTTGAGGGTGTGTGGTTGGAGCAAATGCCATCTCAGTGGAAGAGGGCTCAGGCCAGTCCCTTACCTGGGATATGCATGTCATCTCTTTCCTCCTCTTCAGAAACCTGATTCCATCCTCTTCTCCTTGCTCTTAATTTTCCCCCAACATTTTCTGGCTTGTTCTCAGTCTCTCCCATCTATTTTGAAAGAAAACTTTCATTTGCCCCCATCCCCTCCGGTCACCAATGTCCCACCTCTCTCTTCTCTTTTCAGCTAAGTTTTTTGGAAATACCTTATATTTATTGTCACACCTTCTTTACTTCCATTCATTCCTCACTCACTCCAGTTTGGCTTCTTGCCCTACCACATCACTGAAATGTCTTGCCAGTGACCTAAATTCAGTGGCCATTTTTAGTCCTCATCTTATTTGACTTTTAAGCAGCATCTGATCCTGTTGCCTACTCTGTTTGATTCAAACTCTACTCCCTTGGCTTGTAGGGAACAACTCTCCTTCAGGTTTCCTTCTTGGGGTCCTCTGGGAGCTCCTTTTCTTACCCCTATCCTTTACTTGTTGGTGTTACCCAGGGCGTGGCCCCAGGCCTCTTCCTGGGCAGTGTTATTTATATTCATGGCTTTACCTGCGATGCACACACACTGATGACTCCAAGTCCCTCTTTCCAGCTCATAAGCTAATAAGTGAACCTGCCACTGACTCATGGATGCTGGCAGAAGACATGAGACTCCTGGGTCAGAAACATAGGACTTTTTTACTCAGGCACACACAGCATACAGCATGAACATCAGCATATTTGCATCAGTTCCTCTTGTTTCTGAGTCCCACAGGGGCAGAGTGATGGGCCCAGATGGATGCTCCACATGCAGCAGGGTTGCGTCACAGCTGTGGGACACTGAGCTTGGGAATCTAGTGCCTTTATAGGAAGCAGCAAGCAAGCCTGGAGGGACACAGTATCGTATTGCTCACACATCCCCGAGAAGTGGCCCAGGTAAAAAGGGGTCAGGGTTTTGCCTTCTTGGCACAGCAAGATGTGAAGAAGTGCAAGTGGCCTGTGGAGCATTGTCTCTTTCAACAGTGGGTAGTGCATACTCAACAAATGAGCATCTCCTTGTAGAGTACCTTCTGGCAGAAACGCTCTGGTCATTCTCAGTATTTGCAACTGGTACACCATGTCCGGTTAATGATACTAAGGACTGGAGCTCTCATCTGTGTGCATTCACCATGTGCTCGGTCTCAGGATGTGTCCTTTGCGTGTATTATGCTGTTTCATTCTTTCAACAACTGTGAGGTGGGTTGTATAATCATGATTTCAAAGGTGAGGAAATGGGATCTTAGATAAGTCAAGTGACTTACTCAAAGCCTCACAGATAGTAAGGGGCAGAGCTGGGATTCACTCTTAGGTCTGTATGACTCGAAAGCCTGTGTTGTTAATATTAACTGTACATCATTGATTCTACTGTTTAAATATTGCATCCTACAGCCACTGCCTTTTTGAGGAGCTGTCATTTTGACCCCAATCATTGCATTACAATAGCCTTTCTAACTTGTCTCCCCACCTCTAGTCTTGCCCCTTATAATGTATCTCCCATGTAGCAATTGGAATGATCACTTAAAAACAGAACACACACACACACACCCACACACACTCCCGTCTTCAGTGAGTCCTATCACTTTTAGCCCAAACTGCTTAACATGGCATTGATGTCCCCAGCTGCTACACTGTCCTCACTTCGGTCATCATCCTGTTTCCTACACCTCTCCCAAGAAGCCACACTTTGTGCTTTTGCACATACTCATACTGCATTGTCTTCCTGGGATGTCCTTCACCCTTTAACAGATGCCTAGTCATCCTGTAAGACTCCATTCAGGTAATACCTCTCTCAGGAAGCCTTCCCCAAATGCCTCCCATGCCTTCTTCCATGTAACTATAATACCCTGTGAGTATGACAGAATACCTTGTACTATGTTTCTACTGTTCGTTGGCACATGCTGTTCTGCCTGGAGCATCCTTCTTCATCCCCTCATTGGTCAATCCCTCTTTGTCCTTTAGACTAAACTCAGGTGTCACTTCCTCAGGGGTAGCCTCTGAGATTCCCTTGCCTCCCACTGGCTAAAGTTAGGTGTCCTTCTGGCATGCTCTCCAGGTCTCACTGCCTGTGCCAGATGCGGCTCTGATGGCCTATCAGCCCGCAAGGGCAGGTTGTCCACCATGGCTTACAGAGCACAGTGCCTGGTACATTGGAGGAGCTCAGAAAGCACTCGTTGAATGAGAAAATGCATGACCACCTCCAATGTGTTAGCTTAGTGCCAGGAGCCCAGTACACAGAAGGACTCAAGAAAAGGACTGAATGAACCAGACATTAAAATGCCAGGGGGATTTGTTGACAGGGAAGCTATTGATGATCTTTAGAAAATCAGTTTGCAGGGAGTTAAGAAGCAAATGGGAGGCAAATAAGACAGTTGAGAAGTTAATGTAACTTGTTTTTTCAAGACACTTGGTTGTGAATGGGACTGCTGGTTTTTGTTGTTGTTTGTTTTACACGGGAGATAGATCATTTGATTAAGAGGTAATCATGGAGAGACAGAATTTTGGATGTGAATCCCTTGTCTCCTTTACTTGCTGCAAGAAAATAAAACTAATGACAAAAAAAAGTAATCATGGAATTTATCCTCTCCGTCATTCTCTTTTAAGCAAGTAATTTTCGTAACATGGGAAGCATTGGACTTTTCTCACCATCAAACCTAGAATTAAGGAATTCTCATCGTGATTTCTCTTTGAACACTCACTCCAGTTTCTGTTCATGTTGTAAGAATTTGAAGTAAAAGATGCCTAATGGAACTTAAAGAACATTCAGATTATTAAATGTTTAAATCAAAATATCAAATATATGGATCAAACAGTAAATATTTGTATCCAATATATCAAGCTCTTATTGCTGCAATAAGCTTTACATTGATAATATTTAATCTTTTGCTTAATGATCGTGCAAAAAGTTGTTATGATAGCCCTTTTTACAGAGGATGAAACTGATGTTCAGAAACAAGTAAAGTGTTTGGCCAGTGCCTCCTTGATAGTAATTGGAGAGCTGGGATTCAAAACCTAGTCTGCACTGGTTTAGAAAATACAGATGCTCGACACATACTTTAAACATTTTTATTTGGAAATGTTGTTGTTATGTAGTTGCTGTTTGTCTTTGAACACGGGGAGAGGACTCAGGCAGGGAGCTGCACAGAACAGGAAGGCCCCTGGTGACATGGGTGGGAGGTGACCTGGAATGTAGCTGGAGGTGATGA